GAACAGTGGAGCCATGCTCTACTGTTTAGTGGTTCCTCCCCCGCAAGAAGCAGCAAAATGTTGCTTCTACAAAACTTGCGGTACAGCTGAATTTTTTATGGGTCCTACCAGCACCAACCTGCAATTTTTCTTTAACCAAACGGTAATATCTGTGGCTGGGGGTGAACCTCCCCCGCAGCCACATTACCAAATGGCATCTTATAAAAATTGAATATCTCAAGATGCAATAAATAGCTAAATTGAAGTGATAGATTCAGGTGCATTTGCCAAAGAATCAAAACTCAGATTGCAATGCAAGCACCGGAATGACCATGTTTAGACGGGTTTAACATTCTAGACAACCCTATTGTAAGTTCTTACTTGTAGCTCCATTATATAAGATAATAATGCTGAATTCAAATAGAATTGAGCTACCCCGATGATATTAGAAACAACAGGTAGGTGAGAGAGAAAGTGAGACATCACTTACAATTATTGCACCAACAGGATCCATCCATTCTTCCATATAATTAGCCATAAGTGCAGCAATTAGGCCTATGATATTAGTAATAACATCAAAAAAGTGATCCTGGGCATAAGCTTTGACGATCTCATTAGTAAACGAGCGACAGTAAACCATCAGCACAAGTTTAACCAAGGTCACTGATAGCATAATGCCCACAACCCAGCGCTCTTGCTCCTTGCTCAGATTAAAGTCATTCTCCTGGGAGGATCAGTAGAAGAAATGAGAGATATGATCATGCATAATCCTTAGAAGCACACCCAGTAGTTCCTACCTTCCCAATGAAAGTGTGGTGCTCATTAACTGAAAACATTCAGAAATTGTAAATTTCAATGAATTCTACTTACATCCGAGTGCAATGTGCGTACTGATTCCAATATAATCTGCAATCCTAAAGTTGCCATGACAGAGGCGAAAACAAGAATTCCCTGAATATGGAAGTTAGAGAAATTTATTATTTCATCACGCACTTTTTTTCATATTAACACACAGAACAGATAAATATGCCCACTATTATTCAGACACATAGCAATAATAAAACTGAAAAACAGGAAAAATTTAGCAACAAAACAGCATCAAGATCATGATATAGTTTATAGCATTCGTATTAGGAAATCCAACCCGAAATCATGAGCATTGTTGATAGAGGACTGACCAATGGCTGCATGCGTTTCTTTCCAATGGGGTACTGATAAGGGTTTGGTGTTTGCATAGAGAATGCAGTAAACCACAGGATAAAGCCAGACAGAAGATCAAGAAGAGAATCCAACGTGGATGCAATGATGGCTAATGAACCACTTCTGACAGATGCATAAACCTTGGCAGCAAAAAGAACCATGTTTGCAAAATTTGATATTCTAATCGCAAAGGTCTCACTTCTAGCCAAATTTTCCTTCTCTTCCTGCAACAACAGTAGAAGCAGCAATTTCAGCTTAAACCATCAGTCACGCCCTGAACCAAAGGGAACAAAGCCAACACAAACCTGTGACATTCCAGGAATAAATCCACGCTCTGCCAAAGCATCCATTTCATTAAAGCCCTTGAGCATCTCCACCTGCTGCTGATAGAACTCAGCTACATCATCTTCAGGACCTAAAGCCATCAAGCGAAATAACCAAGACATGACTCATCCATTCTCTGTCTCATGCAATATACCATTATCCAGAGCACAACTACTTATCATGAAAGGAAGGGCTTTGCCAAAGCTTTTTGAAATCATTGACTCTAGTTCATGAAATTATCAACCTAGCCCGCATCTACCTACAGATTTAAACAAGGTTGGTATAGAAGCAAGGATAACTAAAATAAACTCTTGCCAATAAATTATGATTAGTTCTTCATCAATTCAATCCACCATATCCAATCACTTTTTAATAGTAATAAACAAGGTAGAAGTGGAAAAAAGAATATAATATGCATGTATTTACATTAAAAAAACACATACCAAACAACCCAGATTAGTTTTTTTCTTAACTCTCCAATTACACGCCCACACACATACTTGTAAAGATGGGAAATGAATTAATAAGTACAAGATTAGCAAGACCAAAGCTAACTCAGGTATATTAACGCCCCAGAGGGCTCAAATCTCCTTTGAATCAAAATAAAGAAAATAGTCGTTGTCATAGTTTGCCATTAAAACCTCATACTTGAAGTTAGATGAATAAAATCCTCCCAGACAAACACCAACCCATCAAATTTTGTGTTCCATACCAACCTCAGCTGCATTCAATGGTGAATTCACATAGCTAAGGCCAAACACTTACTGCCAACTTAATTAGACAGAAACATTCAAAAACATCCCAGAAAATAAGCAACCAAATTGTTTGTGACCCATTAAAAAAAAAGGATACATAAAACGCCAAACTTGAAAATAAAAAACCAATGATTTAATGCCCAAATAAGAAAAAAAAAATCCAACCGAATAACACCATTTAAAACCAATAAAATAAGTTAATCACTTTCAAAGAAGATTAAACAGGAACAAGCATAACAGTTTATTATTACTTTAATAAAACTAATCACCAAAAAAATTGACCATTTTTTTTTTTTGGAATTACCTAAAACTCCGTAGCAATCATGGATTCCACGAGGCGGTTTTTTCTCTTTGTGTTCTGGTGATAACTGATAACAGTTGAAGTTTAACCGCCATGACCCGTCACCATTTCTGTTCGGAGACAGCAGTGAAAGCTCCTCCTCGTTCTCGTTGTTCACCGGCTCCAACATTATACCGTTTGATTTTCTAGCAAGGGTGATATGTAACTTGGGTAACGTGTGCGATCTCTTAAGTAGTGGTGTGTGGTGGAAAAAACAGTGCGGGTGGCGAGAGCATTTTTGGAATGTGAAAATATGGCGACCCGTGAAGATGGAAGATTTATTGGGTGATGATGAAGGAGATTTTTTTAAAAATAATTTTTATTAAAATAATTTTTTATTTTTTTAATTTTATTTTGATATTTTAATATTAAAAATATATATATATTCTATAAAAACATTTTCCAACCATTAAACAAAGGAGGTTATTCGAGAACGGAGATTTACGTCCGTCGATTTCTCCCGTCAAAGATGCGCTTATAGGCATGCCGCCTAATTTTCTTGATATTTATTAAAATATCCATCCACCACCCATGTAAGGGAAAGTGTTTGCGATGAATGTGTCTAGAAAATAAAATTATATTACATATTTTGTGTGGTTTCTAAAACTTCTATTTTTATTTAATGAATTAGTTTTAAAAAAAATTAATGATTTTTGAAATAATAATTGTATTTATCAGGAATATTTTGGAATAAATGAGAGATAAGGCAGATAGTTATGGCGACGCTAGTGGAGATCCTACCTTGCATCAACTGTGATACGCGATGCTGTTGGGATTTATGAAGGGTTGGGGACCGCATTGAAATATACGAGATGGCGGATGGCTGGGTGTGCTCTGCCATCTGGAAAATCACGTGGTCTACGTGGTGATCTATGATTGGACGGGTAGGTGAAGCACGTGTTATATGTCCCGGGGGAGTGGGATGCCGTGTGGAGATGAGTTAAACGTGTAGGGTTATGATGAATAAGGAGGTGCCCGTTGTGATTATCTCGTGGGACCTGGTTTGATAATTTGGATCAGGATCACGGAATTATCAGTTTGGCGTTTAGTTACTATTTTTTAATAAGAAATTAGAAACAATTGGAATAAAATTGAGAAATTTTCTCCGAAAATAAATTTATTTTACATATTTTCCGGAGCAACATATCCTCCACCTGTCTCTCATGGGACGTGACTGTTCCAGGAACCTAAATCACATGATCCTGATATGCAAGTGACATGTTGAGGATGCATCTGGCAACCGTGGTTTTGGTTGCGCCATATAAGAAGCATGACACGTTGGTGACAGAAAATTCAGTTAAACTGAAAAAAATCAGAAAAAATTTAAATTAAATTGAGAAAATTATAAAAAAGCTGATGAAACTGATTAAAATATTTTAAAAAATTAAAAAATCAATTTGAACCAGTTTCTATTAGTTTTTAGTTTGTAAAAAAAAAAAAATTTATTTTTATAGGTAAAGACAGAATTGAAAATAATCAACTCTAGAAAGTTGTACCAGACAGTCGGATAAAATTCACAAGGTTTCCGAGTGACCTCGTAATCTAATTGCTTGAGGTCAAATACTAAGATGTTGTGGATTCGACAGAGTGAATAACGTTGTCTTGAAAATCAATTATAAAAAGATATAAGGTCTCTTTAAAATTCCAAATCACTCCACTCTCGATTGACAAGGTGACTTTCCAAGTAACTGCCGAGATATATTGTCTTTCTATCTTCGGATTCGAAGATTTGATTTTAAAATAATTGTAGTGGGGAGAGAGGGGAAAAAACAGCTGATGCAATATTCGTCTACAAAAACAGCTGATGCAGTGTGGTTGTCGTGGAGAACCCGGCAAAAGCGCTCGCTAACGTGGCATGGAATCGCTTCTTCTGCGCGGATGAAGGGTGTATGGGATCTGATTGGTGTAATTGTTTTAGATTTATTTTTGTTATCTTTGATAGAATGTTAAAATTATTAAAAAACATCAATTTAATATTTTAATTGAAAAAAAAAATTTATGTATTTTTCTAATTAGATACCTGAAGAACCATCCATAACAATAAATGCATGAAACAAAATATTACCGGTTTTATCCAACTTGTTTTTCTACAAATTAGATATTTTTTTATTGCGTGAAATAATTAATATGTGTACTTACATGTTTTTTAACGCGGAATAAAAAATATAACTATAAAAAAAAATAACAAGTAATAAAATATAATAAATATAACATATGTCAATAAAAATACGTAAAATTTCAAAATAATTTTTAAAATTACATCAAAAAACAAACAATGTTGCAGTAGTTACAACAAAACATTATTTTCTTGATCTTTGTATAGTGGTTTTCTTATAAAAAAAAAAACATAAACAAAAAAACAGAACACAAATTGCAATACTATTTAAAGTGTGAAAACAAAATTCTAAGAAGAGAGTGTAAAGAAAAAAAATGAAAAACTAAAAAAATATTACAAGAAAAAATAAAAAATGAGGAAAAAACAAGGTGATAGATAGGAAGTGTAGAATTATAAAAAAAACCAGGTATATAGAAAAAAAAAACAAGAACTTGTTTTCTAGATTATATAAAAAAATTGAAAATTATATTTTTATCACCGCTACAACCACTGTAATATAAAATTGACAATATTTATAATTATAAAATTTTTACATGAAAACACCATTTCCTCTTGGTACATTTATAATGCTACTAAAAAATATTTAGTTATGAACTTTATTATTTTTCAAGATATAAAAAAATCAAAATTAGAAAACTAAATTAAATGATAGAAAAAAACCTAGATGACAAAAAAAAAAAATCAAACACATGAATTCAAAGATAATTGAATATCTTATGAAAATATGATTTGAATTTAAAAAAATACAAAGATGATATTCATTAAAAAAACAATGAGATAATGATATGTCAAGTCAACCTGATTTAATATGTTAAATTTATAATTTAAATCACGAGATTATAATAATTTTATAAAAAATAAATTAATCATATAAAACCAAACCAAAACATATTATAAAATCAATAAAAAAACCAATGATTTAAAAAAAAACTCAAGATGATATTTTTTTATTATTGAGATAGCAGTATATTTAATGAATTTATTTTGATGGATTAAATTGTCATTATCTAGATTGTATATTAAATTGGGTTTAGTAGCTCTATTTTTAAGTTAATTTTCACTTTGTTATATAATAACAAAAACGAGTATAAAAAAATTCAAGAGTTAAATTAAAAGGAAAAAAATAAAGGACAACAACAAAAATAGGACAGGGGTTTTAAAAAAGAAAGAAAGAAAGAAATAAATAAATCTATGCACATTTTATTCTCAATCAAAATCATTTGGGTTTTTGTCCTTGCTTAGGTATTTTTTAAAATAAAACTAGTTTTATTTGAAATTTGTACATACCTCTCCTGATAAATATGTTCCTTTAGGATCAAACTTGTATTTTTATTTTTATAGAGATATAATAATATTTTAACGGCTAAAATAACATCTCATTGATAAACTATTAACTTTTTTTGAAAAAAACAAAGG